CCTACCGATACCTTGAGTTACTCAATCGCTTAACGTTACACAATTCGCACGGGGTAAGAACTCTGAATTTCTGTCCTGAATTTCGTAAGCAAATCGCCATAAGACTTACCCTTTTCGTGATTTATTCCAGTCGTCTGTCCAGCAGTCCTTCCAATACCTAATCCACACAGAAGCAGGAATATAAAAGAGTACGTCGTCGTCATCTTCTCGTCAGAATACAGTCAAAATAAGTAGTTCAAGAGTTCCAGGTTTCAGGAAAGCAGACGTCCTCTGTGTACGCGAAGAATTACTACTACTACCGGAAATCTGCATGCAGCTTACAAAAGTTGTATGAAGTTTGTTTGACGTGCCGAGCGTGCGTGGTGATTCAGCAGATGACGACTGGTGCCCCGCGCTCGTTATCGTTATGGTTGAGTAATCATGTATTAGACTGGTAGAACATCAGTCATCAACTTCCAGGAAACTCCCCCCTTCTAAGTTCTATTAAAGCTAAACAGATGACACAGAGGGCGGGCTGTAGCGTGAAGGACCCACTCTTTTCCTCACCAATCCAATTTATATATGTATCAGTACCAAAGAGCGATTTGGTGGTGCCGTAAACAATTAAGGCCGGATCTGGAACCAAGTTTCCAGTGGTGGTGGTGGTGGGGGGCGTGCTGGGGGCTTTATGCCTCTTCTGACGGGTCAGGCTACATTTGGGGCTGTTTACACCCTTTGAGGAATGTGGGAAATTAAATAAATAATAAAAACAAAATTAGGGCTCCTTTGGGGGATTTCCTCCTCCCTCTAGATCGCTGCCTTGGCTGTATAAGGCTTGCGCAACATTTTTCATGAAAGTCTGGACAATTTATCTGCAATGTCACAAGACAGTTGACCAGTCTTAGAAGAAAAAAATGCCAATACAATTCATTCAGTAATTTCTCACTTCTTTAAGATTGCTTCTATTTTGCCTTTGTTTATTTACAATCTCAACGACAGAACAAAACGTCACAAAGTGATTAGCATTTTCAATCAAGAATCATTTCCAACGATAACTGATTAATGTAAACTTGATTTATTCCCTATATCTAATTCGTCTTCTTTACAATTGATGTATTCTCACGGTGTACAGTTTCCGCTTCTATGTTTGATTAATGTTCCTCGAATGATGCCCTCGATTCGACAATCTCATTGTCTCGGCACGCACAAGTTGGTTTTAGCCACAAACTGCATTCACAGAAATGTTTGCTAATAAATGTGAAAATCCTATTTATGAAAATGAAATCGACTTTCCGAATACACTTGACATTTCCCTGTATGAATTCAAGCAAGTGATATCCTTGGGTCAAACGAATGGCCTCCACGCCCTAGTCGTTTTTTGCTAATTTGTTCATCAACAATCTGCCGGTCGGTGCGATCGAATATTCGAATATTCGATCAAATAGAAGGTCGTATATTCGAATGGTGAATTGTTCGAATTGACTCAGCCCTATCTCTTTCAAAGTTTGGAGGTTATTAAACATCCTTTTTGGGTTAACCCTTGGCGAGTGGGGCGAGTTCCACCCCTTCCAACAAAATTTCACCGATATCGCCACAACGCACTTTTTTACAAGATGAGCCTTTAGTTGTTTTTTTTTCTTGAACACTCTCTGCGGTCACTTTGACATCCTTGACCGTTTTAAAAAATGGCATATGTCATTGTAGTTTTTGTACCCATTTCCGTGCTCAAGGCACACATGTTGACATAAGTGTGGCCTTCCAGTGACTATAAATGATCGTAAGAACAAAACAGTGCCAGATTAGGCTGAAACTCTGCATTTGTACCGACGGGGAGTATTTTACATCAATGTCATTTTTTTAAACGGAAGTGGGACGGCTGGAACTCACCCCGGATCCACAAGATATTAATCCAAAACAATTTGGCTCTTTTAGGGTTAGGTTTACGGGAAGACGACCTTAATGGTACATTTCAAAATTTTCACGCTTTGGGGCAACTGAGGGCGCTGTTAACGTGATGTCAATTAGGGAAGAATGTTCACCATGGATTTGTTGTTCCGATCGTGCTTTAACATTTCTGAGAAAGTAATGGACGTTAATTTGCTGCCACATACATACTAAAAAATCAAGCACTAAAGTAAAGGAAATGTTAGTCAGCAAGAAAAAGAACAGGTTTTCGGTGAAGACATCAATATAAGATCGACTTTTTGGTAAAGAATGACATCACAATTTTGTTCTTGACTAAAGAAGCATCCGCTAGCATATAAGTAAAAAAGGCATAAAAATATCAAATTATCTCCATGGTTACAGAGTAACGCATACATTTTAATTCTATATCTCCTCAGGTGATTAAGAATATCGGTGATTTTCATCCCCTTCAATTTTTTTTTAAATATGATTTTTCGCTGACCTCGCGGGTCCCCTTTCCCCGCCGGCAGTGGCGTAACTCGGGCTAAATGTCTGGCAGCCCTCGGGATGCACATTTTTTAAGGGGAACCACAAGAAAACAAGCCGCAGCTTCATAGCTATATAAACGCAACGGACAGTCAAAGATTTCAAATGGGAGCAACGGGGGGGGGGGGGCGAGGACATCCGCTG